TGGGAACATACAAAGTGTAGGTGTTCTGGAAAGTAATTTAACATTTATACTGAGAGCATTAAAACATTCTAAGCATTCAACTCAAAAATTCCACTCCCAGGAAGCGAGTGCCAGGCAGAAGGTTTGCACACAGGGACGTGGGGCACAGTGCTCCTCACGGCACATGACCGGAGCCTGCCTGCTCGGCCACCCGGCCAGCGATGGCACACCCGGTGTGGGGAGCTCTGTTTCTACTACATTAGAAAACGTTTATGACCTAATTTATACTACAGCTTTAACTGTAGTGGAAAAACTACGCATGAGGAATGGGATGATTTTTCTTTTTTTGCTGTGCACACACCTTCCTCCCCTTCGTCTACCAAAGGCTCATCGTAACAATGATAAAAGGGGGCCCTGAAAGGGAAAGACGGGCTCCCATAGCGACGGTAAAACCAGACCCCTTCTCTTCCTTCCCTACAGGACATTGAGGGACTCCAGCCCCATGTGGCCACTGACTACCGGCCACTCCTCTAGTTCGGCAGCCAAACTTCCCACTGAGGCAGAAACCTGGACAGATTCCAGGTGTGCCCCTCCCTCTGACCCCAGGGCCTAGGGTGGCACAATGTCCCCTGAAAAAGGGCTCTCGGACCCAGACAAAAAGGCCCCAGGGCAGGGCCAGCCCACCATAGCATGTGGCACATGTGGAGAATTTTATGTGCCTAGGACTCAAAGCCATGGCCTGGCATGTCCTCTGGTCTTGACGACAACTTGAGTGGCAGAGCAGAGGTGATCGCACAAACCAGAGAACTGAGTCTGCCTTATTACATTATCTTTTAAAATAAAAAGGAAAGGAGTTCTTTTGTTTTGTTTTTTACAAAAACCTAATTTGGAACATCCTGACTTCAGATTTTCTTTCTGTTTCCACCAAAGGCCTCTCTAGGCAACGCAGGCTGTGGTATACCCCGGCCAAGTCCCAAGTCCTGTGCATTGGCCCCAGTCACATGCTCTGGGTAACATCTGTCCCCATCACAGCGGATATGGGTTTTGTCCCTTGATCTCAAAGAAGAAAGTGATTATGAAAGCAAGTTGGGAATCATCATGTGCCACAGAAACAGTTGTCTCACAAATGCTCTGATCTAAGCCTACTCGCCACCCAGTCCAGCCTACTGGGAGCCCCTGAGGTTTTCAGGAAACAGCACAACACTTGAGGCTGACTCCGTGAACCTGACACACAGGGAAGGGGGGGACAGAGCAGCTCCTGGACAAGCTGTGGAACCAGGAGGAAATCGTGACAACTTAGCACCCACTTGGCATTGGACCACAGCCAGTGCCAATGCACCTTGGAGGTGCCAGGGTGGCAGACAAGAGAACAATTAGGGGCACCTAAGGCAACAGGGAAGCTTAGGAACCAAAAAGCCAGGGAAGGGGTTCTGAGTGGGGACGGAAGTGAGAAGCTTAAGAACAAAAAGCCTGGAGGAGGGGGTTCTGAATGGGGACCGAAGTGAGGAGCCAGCAGGTCAGCAGGGAAGGAGGGTAGCCTTTTGGATAAGGGGCAGCCTGCACTCAGCACCAGGCAGGTTTCGGGAGCTTGAGAAGATGCAGGATCACAGAGGGGGAGGGCACACAGTCAAAGACCAGGCTACAGGCACTGAGGGGGCAGTGCAGTGGTGACGCAGAGATGGCAGCCTCCTGCGTGCCATCCCTCCTGCAAGGAAGCCCAGACTTTGCAGGGCAATGTCCCAGAAGCTGGGAGTGGGGCCCTGCTGCAGAGAGGACATAGGTTGAGCCCAGGACTCCGGCCAAGGTGGCCCAGAAGCCACACTTGGGCCCCAAATGCCCTCTGTGGTCCCCAATGAAGCTCGTATGATTTCAAGGCAGCCCACTCGAGACTTTGACTGTTTCTCCTCTTGCTTTGCTAACAGGCAGACAGGAACAGGCAGGAGGAATGTTCTAGTTCCAGGAACACCATCCAGACCCTCTGAGGTGACAACGGAGTGTGAGAGCTACCTTTGGTAATGGCAGGCCACCTAGATGCTGCCTGCAGGAAGTCACACCTCTCCAAGGCCAGCAGCAAGCTGTCCTTCCTGGGCAGCCTTATAAGTAAGAAGCCAGCAGGTGAGGCAGGCCCTGCAGTAGACACAGGACCAGACAGAGACCTGCCAACACTGTTCACACACCTGTTTTTCTCTACAAGCCAGGGAGCCCTAATGGCCACCAGAAGTTCCAAACTATATTCCAGGAAGATGTGGTTATCTGTCCATCTCTATTTGTCACCAGGATGTTCCCCTAGCTGACAGCAGCCCAGGATGGCACTGTGCAGTGGCGAGTACTCCTCTCTCCACAGGCCCCAAATACAATAGACTCTGGCACTGGGGGCCAGGAGGGGCTTGGTGGAGAGGTCAGCACATCCTGGGGCAGGCAGGCAGGACAGACAGGGGAGGAGGACCAGGGCTCCAGTCTCCAAGGGCCTCAGGACTTCAAAGAGCCAGGCCTACCCCCTCCCCAGCTTACCACCCAGGCAGGCACTCCAACACCCACAAAGTCCTGGGGAGGGCAGGATGGAGGGCAGTGAAAACACCACAAGGCAAGACAAGATAGGGTGACACATGATACCTATCTGTGGGATGTCTGGGGGCAGGGAGAGTTGGGGGAGTCCTTAGTTTATGGACTGCGGCACAGCTGGGCTGTAAGCACACAAAGCCAAGTGTGCCCAGGCCTCCCAAGAAGCTCATTAGAAAAGCCATCTACCTAATACCTGGAACAGAAATTAAGGGAGGGAGAGAGAGGAGCAACTTAAGAGGTGGGGTGCTGTCACCTGCCTGGTGGCATAGCTCACTCCCAGAGTGGGTAGCAGAGGGGCCTCCTGAGGGCCCTGGAAGACCCTCCTCAACCCAGCCTGCTTGCTGCTGAGCTAGCAATTCCCTGGCTGAGGGGCTAGTGCCCACTTCCTCAGGAGGCAACTGGCTTTTCCATTCCTGCCCCGCAACGCTCCCTGGGCAGGGGTGCTGGGTCCTCCCTTGTGCAATGCCTGTGCCTGTCAACCTCACCTCATCCTTCCACTCTTGGCTGTGAGGGTGGCTGGGGCGCTTGCTCTGGTGGACAAACTGAAGAAGGGAGGCCCAGGATCCTTCACCCTGGGGACCCACAGGAGGCAGAGCTGCAGAAGAGAAACCTGCCTGGCTTGAGCGCTCAGGGCAGGCAAGCGCTCTCCCACGCAAGCTCACGTCAAAGGCTCCAACCTCTTGCAGCCCCAAAGTTCTGCACACTCCCCTCTGGGGCTCCCAGACTAACCCCTCTGGTAGATATTCCCACTCCCTGCAGGCAAGGAGGTGCCCTCCTGGGCCTATTGGGGTCAGTGAGTGCCCAGCTGTGGGAGTCTACAGCCCTGGTAGGCAGAGCGCTGGGTGGGGGCATGGCTTTGGTCCCTAGGCCCAACTCACTATAACCCAGAGTTGCTGGACCACGAGGACTGGGGGAGGGCCTACAGTAGGAATGTTCATTTGTGCAAAAGAGACCAAGTGCTGGGCTGGAAGGAATGCTTCAAAGGCCCTAGACAGGCAGCTCTGTGGCTGCCAAGTGTGGAGCGTGGCCTAAAAGGGACCCAGAACATCATCTCCCAGGCTGGGAGCTGCTCTGTGCATGGGGGGAGGAGGGACGGATCAGCCAAAGGAAAGTGAGCAGCTTTCCCCCAGATTCCCCCCAGCTCTAAGATCCCATTTCCTGATAGCTTGAGAAAGACCATGGGACAAGGACCAAGGGCTGTGCAGGGAGCAGTGCTGTGGGCTCCATGCAGCCCCAGGGTGGGTGGACAACTGAGGTTCCCCACACGCCCGAGCACCTATCTGTCCTGAGAGTACAAGCCAGCACACCTCCATCAGCCCAGACTCGCCCATCCCAGCCTGTCTGCAAATTCACTCCAGAAGCAAATGTGGAAGAAAAACAAAAGGCAAGAGACCTGCTCTCGGCCGGCTCAGCCCAGACTTCAGCAGCGGAGGCCCCGCAGAGTGGGAGAAACCATGAGGAACAGGACAACAATCCCAAGTCTAACTGCTGGGAGCCCGGCAGCGCCCAAATCTGCTACAAATCGCTTCCCAGGAGAGCTGCCCTGCCACCCCTTCCTTGTGGGTGGCCACACACAAGTAAGCTCTGTGCTCCTGAGCCCCACAGACTGGGGGGTGGGGGGGCATGGGGAACCCCCAGGGAAGGTGTCTGGCTGCACAGGTGCCCTCCACCAGCTCAGCTACCCCCACCTGGCTGGTAGCTTCCTGGGGGAGGTAGCCCAATCCACAGCTTTTGTTCCTCTTTCAAAGCAAGCTTATATCTGAAAGGGTTCTGCTGATAGGCCCACAGGGGAGGACAGCAGCCCTGCCTCCTCCCTGCCCCCAGCCCCAGGTCACACAGGGCCTTTGTTCTTTCTACCTGCACACACAGGCAGACAGAGCCAAACCCCTTCCCTGGCAACTCCTCCCCTGCCCCCAAGGCAGGCTGACAGGTACCACAGGGCTGGAGCACCACAGGTGCAGAGAGGGAGGCATCTCACTACTCTCCTTCCGCTGTTGTTACTGGAGCATGGTGGGAAGCACGCACTCCAGGTGAGCGACATACAAACCCAGGAACCCACGTCCCTGCCTACGGACGCATGAGGCAGCTCAGGATCAGCCCAGATCTTGGTCCCGGCGGGCCAGATCTCAGGGCGCACAGCAGATGAGGTGGCCCAGGAGAAAACCCAAGCACTGAGCGGCCACGCCAGTGGTGGTGGGGCAGAGAATCAAGGTGAGAGCGAAGTCAGAGAGCAGGGGTGAAAGCCGGCCAGAAAAAACAGAGGCGCACGGCAGGTCTATGTAGAAGCCACAGCGACTGAGAGCCCCAAGAGGGCAGGAGATGGGGGCGGGAATAGGGTGGTGGGAGCAGAACCGGCCCAGCGCAACCCGAGGGGGACATGGCCAGACTCCGGGACATGAGTGCGCGAAAGGATTTGGCCACCCGGCCCCGACGGCGCTCCCCCCGAGGTGGGCGCTCACCTGGGGGTGCGCAGCGCGGCGGGGTCGCGGCGATCTAGCACGCCGGGCACGCAGTTGGTGAGCTCGGTCCAGTCGGCGTGCAGCCCGCAGCTCCAGCCAGTGGAGAAGCGGGAGAAGAGCCAGGTCTCGCGGCGGTTGGGCCGGTAGCAGGTGCACTTCTTTTGGCCTGGCCGGCAGTCGCAGGGCACCTCGAGGCGAACGTTCTGCACGAGGTGGCGGCCAAAGGTGGTGCCTCCTGTCTTCTGGATGTGCAGGAAAACGATCACGTCGTCACCCTTCATGTCGAAGTGCAGCGAGCGCTCCAGTTCGCGCACCGGGAAGTAGTACTTTTTCTCGTAGTGCGGGTCAGGCGTGGGGAAGAGGTCCAGGTCGTCGGGCGGCGCGCGGCCGCCGGGCGCGCCCAGGCTCAGCCCCGGGCCCGCGTACTGGTACAGGATGAGCATGAAGCACACCGAGCCCGCCACCACCAGCACGAACTTGCTGGCGTGCTCAACCATGGTCCTGCCGCCGGCGCGCCGCCGCCGCATGTGTC